GCTGCTCTTTGACAATATGGGTTCTGGTGCTTTGGGTGAACAATCTGCTTTTAATGATTTCCAAAAGCCACCAGTTTACTACATAATGTCAATCAGTAACTGGTAAGTTTATATTGTGTTGCACTTTATGATTCAATCTAACTTTTACAAAACACTATGCTCAATATTTTATGAAGGAAGGTGAGCTATTTCTAAGAGCATAGACATTTCAGCAATGTGTGTACACCTTTTGAGAAACCCAAACTTCCTTTGAAAATTGTTGCAGCCCCCCCCCCCCCCCGGTGCTTTTCCGTTTTCGCCTGGCAACACATGCTCACTTTTAACTGAAGAGTCAGGATAATAGCTAGAGTGCTAGATTTGGACATGGGGAGACCCATGTTCCAATTCAGTGCAAAGTTTGTGTTCAACTTTGGAGAAGTATCTAACTGATCTCACTAGATACAAAGGCAATAAAGCATAATTTAATCTAGATAGTGCATGTGTGTTAGCTCTTGTTTTGTATAGGCTGTCCAACTAGCTTTGCAGATCCATTTTTGTTTTTTTTTAAATTACATGTCCATTCATACCCATGCTAAGGTCACATGTAGTTTAGGTGCTAAAAAGAAGTATTTCAGTGCAACCACAACAGTGATACAGTTCTCTCCTTGGGGTAGACCCTTAAAGTATATGCTGGGCCAGCCCAAGCCTTGCTACATGAAGCCTGGCTGCCTCTAACCAATCACTATACAGTACTGCACTTGCATGCACTGCTATCTATAGGTAACACACCAGTGTGGGCAAACTGTGGCCTTGCAGATGTTGTTAGATTCCAACATAAAGAGGTCAAGGATGATGGAGGGCTACAGGTTTCCCTTTCTACTTGTTTTGTCCATGTTGCTAATTGGCCAGGACATAATTTGGCATTAAGTGATGGAAAGTCACTTTGTGGAAGAAGGAACAGGTTGATCTGGGTATCTAAGTTCATTTTTACCAGTCTTGCAGATTGATGGGGTTTTATATATGCAGGCAGCGGCCATTTCACGTGGGGGGTTTTGTCAGCAGAGCACACACAAGCACACCCAGTTATGCCCTCTTCCAGGTCCAAAATGACCCACACACTGGCGATCGTGCCTAAATGGGTCACAATCTGTACAACTGCATGCTCGTAAGATGAAGTATAATGATCAAAAGTGCACAAAAAGTACCATCTATACTTTCTTCTGAATATTTGATAACATAACAGCTGGGAAAAGCTAAAATTAGGCAAGTTAATTTGCTAAACTTGCAGTGTTTAGAACAGTATGCAAAATAGGAAAGGGTGGTGCTACAGTGCTTGGAGAAACCCCCAAATGAAATCTTTCTTCCCCTATTTTGCCTGAATATTGTGTGTGCTTTCCATTCCAGGTGTGAGATGCAAGATGCTGGGTTCACCTCTGACACACTGATGAAGAACTTCTTCTTTGTGCCTTCTTGCATTCAGCTGAGTCCTGAAGACCGCTTTTCTATTGCAGCTTAAACAGGCACTAATGCTTCAATTAGCCTTGCAGTTGCATGTCTGTAGTCTTGTCTGGTCACAACATTCCAGTTTGGAATTAAAATGGAACAATCTTGAATGAATTATTGAAACTTGAAATCATTTGGGACCAGGCAAAACCAGCTACAACTACAATTCACTGAGGGAGTAAAGGTTAAAAAACAACATCATTTAAACTTGTCAGATCACTCAATCCCTCAGCATTTAAACGAAATATGCAACAAAATGGATGACTTAGTTGAGATGGAAACCCATCACTTGGGTTCTCTGTTAAACAGTTTACATACAAGTACAGTTTTTATACTAAGGATTTCTGTTAGTCTTGTAAAGTTGTCTTTCCCTCTGATATCTGAAATGTCAGTGGGAAACAAGTGTGACTTCATTAGCTATGTTTAGTGTATTTAGAACGTGTAAATTTGTGCTTTGAACTGTAGTTTAATAAATGTAAAATTGCATCATAGTATTTGTTGTATTCACCTTTGCAGTACCCACCCTTGTACGATTGCAATAAAATTTTGTGTAGACTTTACTGTTCTCCCCACCTACCCCCTCCCTGCTAATACAGGGAAGAGATCTAAGCAACACTGATAGTACAAAAAGGTGTAAGGTTATTATTCAAAGACTGTTTAAATTGACAAAATTTTAAATCATGATTAAAAACTAAGCTGAAGTGCAGTCTGCTGTTTTCCTCAAGCATCTAATTTAAGCTAACTCCAAAACATGCAAGCAGACAGGTACTGCAAATCAATTCACAGGAAGTAAAATGCATATAATAAACAGAAAGCTAACTTATTGCTCTCTTTTGTCGAAAAAGCAAGACTTACTTTGCACACTGTTGAAAGTAAGACCCATTAATCTTGGAGGGGCTTACTTTCCACAGAAACAAACATAGGATTGGGATTTAAAAGTCTCAGTATTCCAACAAAGTAGTTCTGATTAGCATTTTGCTCTTTGACAGGATGTCTACATCCATCTCTAGGAACCAGATCCCTGATGTTCTAGATATACTGTAGCAGCTAGACTTAGCAAGCAAAATATAGAAGCTTTTACTCATCGTTGCTTAGATTCCTCCTTCCCTTTGATTTCTCACTTTAATTTATTTTGCTAACCTAGTAGCCTTGGATGTGAATTTTGAAATGCACCAAGCCAGAGTTAATTTGAAAATGGAGATTAGTATACTTAAATAACTTGGTAATGTAAAATGGGCTGCCAGATGCACATGCATTGTATACTAATGCCAGTTGGCAGGAAACTTTCTATTCTCTCTGCCCCCTTTCCAGTTCACTGGAGCTAAAACTGCATACTTGCTAGATGAAGGGGTTTGGGAAAATTCCCTTCAGCCTGATCCTTTTAAAATAACAGGTACTATATGCTTCTAACCATATGAGATGCTTTTAATCTGCATGAATGCTTCCTGCAGCTAAATCTTAATAACCCTGACAGTGGAATATGGTTGTGAACATTAAAGCACAAATGAAAAAAGCAAAATCAGTTTTCCAATTAAGAAAATAACATCACTTTCCAGAGTTTTGATCCAGTATCTGTCAGGGTTCTATTAGGAAATAAAAAAAGCAGGGGCAGTTGTCATATCCATCATCAAGCCTCTCTAAAGATACCAAGGATTCTGCTCTTAAGTTTATAGAACTGTTGTGAGTTAACCAACTCTGTTGTAAATGGTACAGTCACCTTCAAAATGTCTGTATTGTATTTGACAGTTTGCCATAAAAGCTGGTTTGAACTTGGTATGTATTTGAATTTATATGCTAAAACCTATCTCTTCTGTTTACAATATTGTAATATCAGTTTTTGAATAATTCAAATATAAAACTGAATGATTTCTATATAGCAAATTAACTAATGGGACTTTGTCTTGTGTATAGTATAGCTAGTTGCTGAGAGACTGTTATTTGAATGATTACACATGAAGACCTATAGCCCTGCCCAATAGAAATTGCTAAGGAAGGAAGCTATGTTTAGATGCACCAAACTGCTGACATTTTAAATGAGATTCCAGTTGGCAAGATTAATGGAAAGGAGGACAAAGGGACTGTTCCATCTATTGCATGGGTTTTATTCTCAGGTGCTGCTTTCATTGGACATGTAATGTAACTCCATAGGTTTATATTATGAATCCTAAGCATACCTGTCACATCACTGTCCTATTTTAATATTGCATAATAGCTTCTTGTCACAGGAGGGATAGAAAACATCACTTCCCCTTTGGTAAAACAGGCCCAGTCCAGGTTCCAATTTGGCCCTCAAGTCCATTCCCCACAAATCGCCTGCCTAGTCAAATCAGCCCTGAGTGCTCACTGGAAGGACAGATCATGAAGCTGAGGCTCCAATACTTTGGCCACCTCATGAGAAGAGAAGACTCCCTGGAAAAGACCCTGATGTTGGGAAAGATTGAGGACACAAGGAGAAGGGGGCGACAGAGGACGAGATGGTTGGACAGTGTTCTCGAAGCTACCAGCATGAGTCTGTCCAAACTGCAGGAGGCAGTGGAAGACAGGAGTGCCTGGCGTGCTCTGGTCCATGGGGTCACGAAGAGTCGGACACGATTAAACAACAACAAAAACTGTCACCCAAGGTATTATGTCAACAGGAGCCCAATCATGCTAATTACTATTGTCATGGCAGAATTGCAGCAGACAACAGCAGCAAAGGAAGATAAATGCTACCCTCAGTTTCATAGGTTTCTATCATTCAACCTCCAAGCAGTCTTTAAGGTCCTCACATCCTGTTCAGTGTTCAAGAGGGTATTCAGTGAGCCAATAACCCTGGTAGCCTTCCAAGTACAGTGGTACCTCAGTCTACGAACAGCCCTATTAACAAATGCTTCGGACAACGAAGTGTTCCGGTTAGCAAACTTTGCCCCGGAAGACAAACAGTTTGGTTTAAGAATGGACCTCCGGAATGGATTAAGTTCGTAACCCGAGGTACCACTGTACGCAACATGCAGGTTCTCAGTCCCACAAAGAGACAGGAGTCATGCACATGGGTCTGCCATTCATTCCAAAAATGAATTTAGCTTTTCACCAAATGCAAGAACAGATTATTCCTTTTGCCCCAAACACTCACACTCTGCATAAAGGTGGCATAAGCTAGATTTTGCAGGACCCTTAAGAGTTGTTTCTTCCCAACCTAGCTTTGTGCTGAAGAACGCTTCAAGCACTATGAGTGCTAAGCCTATGAGGTGTAATGTTTTCCAAAACCACAAGTGATTGCTGCTCATTCCAGCAGCCTAGCATTTTCCACTCACACTTTTCTTCAAATCTGCAGCGCAGCCACATGAAAATAATCTTTGACCTTCACTAAACATTTTAAGATGGATTCCAGTGCATCTGAGGAGTTGGCCATTGGCAGGCACACTGCCCCTCTGTCTTCTAAATAACTATCCAAATTCCCATTCTAGGTTCTGAGTAGCTTAGACATATTCTACTGTAGGAAGCCTCCGCCCCAAACTAAGGCAGCACTGGGCACTTACCATGAATGTTCTTTCTCGTTTGGGGGTAAGCGAATCTTCCAAGTCTTCCCCTATTTTGATGAATGTTCTGCACAAATAGACAGCTTCAGATGTTGCCATCCTCTGATAGATACCTCTAGCAAGTGCTGAGTTTCCTCTAGTGTCAGAGGCTCCTCTTCTTTTCCAGGCTCCTTTCCTCTATAGCTGTAGTTGCATCACTGCACTTTGTTTCTAGCTTTGTCAAGAGTGCAGGATATTCCACCAACAGCTAATCAGGTGCTTCTTGTGCAGTTGGAGTGTGTGACCCATTTGTTTGATGCTTCGTTCACCCTAAACAAGAAAGTACATTCAAAGTAAGTGCCCAGCTTCCCTATCCTAGGGGAGTGCATCGGTTACCTTGAGACTGGATTGTTGCAATGTAGTCTGTGTGGGGCTGCTCCAAAAGCTCAAGCTAGGGCAGAAAACACTTAAGACTGCTGATGGAGGCAGGCAGCCAATACTATGTCACATCTCTGCTACCAGGCCAGGTCCAAGAGTCTACAACACCCTGAAAAACCTGGATCCAAGATACCATAAGGATTGCCTGACCCCTTAATTTCAAACACAGCGATCATCCAGAGGACTGTTTAGTTTTCTCCATATCACAGAGAACCCAACTGGCATCAACTAGACGTCTCACATTTAGTGTCGCCAGTTCCATGCTGTGGAACTGTTGGAGAAATTTAAAGGGGTTCCTAGACTGGAAGGATCCCTCCCTGAAACCCAAAGGAAAAGGATTTAGGCTCCAATTGAAAAGATTGGCCTTTACTGAAATGCCAATGCACATAGGGACAGCCTCAAAAATGAGGAGGCTGCAAAGAACCACATCCAAAGCAATGTTTCGCACACACCTCCAGAATACACATGTGATTTCATTTCACAAATCGAAGGATCACAGCAATCTTAGCAGTTGCAACCCAGTGTCATCATTCTGAACCAAGCAAAGTCATTTAGCTCTCCAGATCAGCTCTCATCAGATCATGTGATTACATACAATCGTTTTTAATTTTGACTAATTTTCCAATTCATTAAATGCCTTCTAGTATCCTATTTCATCTACCTACAAAACAATTCAGGATTGATCACAATTGCCATGGCTATTTTCATGCATACAATGGCCACCATGGATTCTAAGAGTTTATTATTTTCAGTATGAATATTTGCTACAGACAGTACCTAAATTCAACTAGTTTTGTACTGGAAAAGGTAGGTTGCCATGGGCCTTTCCAGTTTATCTAGGCCACAGACTCAAAAGTTTTATGAAATTACTATTATTTTATCCATCAGAAACCTCTTCCAGCAGAGATTCAGTAAGCATCTTCATACAAGTACATATTGTACACACATCCTAGTATTTTATGCGATGGCAGCATATAACCACTTTATATAAAGGAACTACTTTTATATAAAGTAGTTTTATAAATGAACAAACCCACTATTTCCAGGTTGAATACCACTCAGCTGGGGAAATGAACTTCAATACTCTCTGATTTAATCAGTAATGAACTAAATGAGTACCAGTAAACTAAGACATTTAGTTCATTACTGTGCCTCAACACTGACTCAGAAAATCCACTGTCTCATCTGGATTTGATGAAAAGGTGATAAAGCTGAGTGTTGCTTCAGTTCTCTGCATGACCTCAATGTAGAGGTGGTGAGAGGGAATGGCTTGCATTTAGGGCAAGGACTATGCAGTTGCTTTACAGTAGGACACCCCCCCCCCAATTTAGTTGCTGCACTAAATTTTATTTAACAAAAGTTATGCACTGCTTCCTCTAACAAAAGAACTCTTAAAAGCCTTACAAAAGACAAATGCTCATTTAAAAATACCAATGAAAGCAAACATTAAAAACAAGTTACATATTTTAAACAATATATAAAATAAAAACAACTACGCTTACTAAAAATCACATGCTAATGCAGCTTGCTAAAATTATATGCGAAGGTAGGCTTGCTGAAACCAAACTTTAGCAGTGCCAAAAACAATACAATTAATGGGCAGTGTCACACTAAATGAATTTATTGCAAGTGTGGAACAAACATTATTTGGCACTTGTGGGGGGGGGGAGGTGGAGACATTGCATGCCGATAGTGTCTCACTTCTGTCAGCAATTACACTGCAGCACTCTGCAATAACTCTAGCTTCTGGACCAAACACAAAGAGGGTATTGCAGTAGTTCAGTCTTGAAGCTACCAATTCCCAGAGTACTGAGATCAAGCTGTTCCAATCCAGGAATGGCTGCAGCTGACAAAAGGTGTTCCAAGCCACCAAGACCACTTGGATCTCCACTGACAAGGTAGGATCCAGAAAGCATTCCCAGACTGCAAACCTGTTTCTCCAGCGGGAACACAACTTTCCAGGGAAGGCAGCCAGCCAGTTTCTCAGACATGGGAACCAGGCACTCGCAGAGCATCCATTGTGCCAGGATTCGGCCTCAGCATCTGAGCAGAGGATTGGGAGTGATCATGCCAACTGTCCATCTCATTTCTCTGACCAGAGAGATGATACCTTCCCCCATTTCTTAGTGTCAGCTGTGGCAAGCCCAACCAGTTCCAAGGCTGCCTCTCTCAATGTCCCAAGCAAGCTAGCTAGGTTTCTAGATTCACTGGGCATATTTGACTCTAGACCAGGATCTGCTAAGAAAAGATGTATTTTGGGATGTTCACTCTTATCAGGTGCTGTTCAACCTTCAAACAATGTAAGCACAAGAAAGATTAAGTTCTACTTGAAGGAAAAAATCATTTTGTTTACTAGATTTGGAAAATCTGGTGTTGGACACAAAATAGCACAGAAATATAGGTAGTCTTTTTTTTCTACAAGTTAATGTACAGTCGTACCTTGGAAGTCAAACGGAATCTGTTCCGAAAGTCCGTTCGACTTCCAAAATGATCGGAACCAAAGCGTGGCTTCTGATTGGCTGTAGGAAGCTCCTGCAGCCAATCAGAAGCCACACTGGACGTTCGGCTTCCGGAAATCATTCGAAAACCAGAACACTCATTTCCAGGTTTCGCTCGTTTGGGAGCCAAGGCATTTGAGATCCAAGGTACGACTGTACTAAAAATTAACAAAATTGAAAATATGTGCCAGATGTTAGTGGGAGAGTTGTAACTGGGTAGTTACATGCAAAGCACCCTGAGCTCAATCACAGACATCAATAGGTTGGGCAGGGCAAGACTCCTGTCTGAAACTCATCAGAGCTGCTGCCAGGGAGTTAAAAAATACAGAGCTAAGTAGACCAATGGTCTGACTTGGTACTTTCCTGTATTATAGATTCCCAGTGCCCTTTTATTCCACAACCAAAAACAATGGCAATAAAAGAGCTTTGGCTGACTACACAAGTTTTTCCTCTCTGAAAGGAAAAGGATTATAAATTTACGTTTTTCTTAATTGAACATCTCAAGCAAGGATCTGAAACATCCCAGAGGCAGCTACAGCCTTCCTGGGTACATTGGAAAGAATGAAACACATATACAGTGGTACCTCGGGTTACATACGCTTCAGGTTACAGAAATATTACCTCGGGTTAAGAACTTTGCATCAGGATGAGAACAGAAATTGTGCAGCGGCGGCGCAGCAGCAGTGGAAGGCCCCATTAGCTAAAGTGGTGCTTCAGGTTAAGAACAGTTTCAGGTTAAGAATGGACCTCCGGAACGAATTAAGTACGTAACCAGAGGTACCACTGTATAGATTTCAATTTGCTCGTATAACATGTGATCCACAACATTGAAAGATAAGCATTTCTGTGTCCTGAGGTTGCCTAGAGGTGGGGTTTAAAAGACAAACAAAATAAACAAATCCAATCAGTGTGGATTCTTTCAACCTGGTTCTTTCAAGTTTCTCATGATTTGCCACATCGTTAATCTCAGTCCCAAAGTGTCCACTAGAGGTCATATTTTGCTTGTCTATTTGATTTGAAGGGGCTGAAGCCAACCACTAAACTCTGGGCCAAACTACAGGTTATTCCGGGACAGGAGATCTATGCCAGCTCTCCAGACATTTTTAAAAAAACACGCTGCAGTGTGCGTGTAGGCTGCCAATTACTTTAGAACAACGACAGGTTGGGAAAGGTGTTTAACCTTTCTTCCTGTACTATTCAGCCTGCCCTGTTTGCTCCAGGAGGGAAAAGATACCTGTAAACAAATTATTACAGTGGTACCTCACAAGACGAATGCCTCGCAAGACAAAAAACTCACTAGACGAAAGGGTTTTTTGTTTTTTGAGCTGCTTCGCAAGACGATTTTCCCTACGTCTTGCAAGTTTGTTTCCTTTTTCTTAACACCGTTAATACAGTTGCGACTTGACTTCGAGGAGCAACTCATAGAACGCGGTGTGGTAGCCTTTTTTGAGGTTTTAAAAGCTTTTTGAGGTTTTTGAAGCTTTTCCAAAACTTTCCCGACACCGTGCTTCGCAAGACGAAAAAAATCGCAAGACGACAAAACTCGCGGAACGAATTAATTTCGTCTTGCGAGGCACCACTGTATAGGTAGTGGATATGGGGAACCCACAAAGTAGAAGACTTTTAAAATAAGTCCCAAGTTCAAAATAAGTTTGAGGTACTACTGGCGCAGGAGACTCATAAAAACAAACAGCTTTAACTCAAAGGATCAAATCCTTGCTCTTCCTCCCTTCCCTGCTAAAAAATTCTTGATCCTTCTTACTAAGCGAACAATATTATGTTTTCCAGTTTGAAATGTAGTGTGTCATCTTGGTGCCAACCATGCTATGGCCCGTGTTAATCATTTACACTGTGACGCCCTAGAATAAAAAGACAATATCTTGTGACTGACATCTTAAGTGCAGCACAAACAACTTAGGGTTTACGTAGCCAGTGTTGCCTTGACTGAGTTCTTCCATCTGTCACCCCAGTCCAAGGCTTTTTGCGCAACACAATATTTCACCTTGCTATTCACTTTTATGATAAAATGGTGTCAAATAAACAAGGCTCTGTAACCAGTGTTAGAAACTGAGATATGAAAGCTAGGAGCTAAATGGCACCTTAAACCTAGGTTATGGGTGGAATGTCTAGGCGCACTTTTTTTAATAACAAGAATACAAAGCTGAAAATGAATGAGCTGCAGCTAAAATATTATATAATAATAATAATAATAATAATAATAATAATAATAATAATAATAATAATAATTTACTATTGTTATTATACCCCGCCCATCTGGCTGAACTTCCCCAGCCACTCTGGGCGGCTTCCAATCAAGTGTTAAAAACAATACAGCATTAAATATTAAAAACTTCCCTAAACAGGGCTGCCTTCAGGTGTCTTTTAAAGAGAAGA